AAGGGGGGGTGGGGGGGGTACCTTGGTTGCTGATTGGCTAATGGTTACACAAAACATTGTTATGACATCATAAAGTGACCAAAATCTGATCAGCTCATTTTCAGACAGGTTTTTATAGAAATGGATCAACAAAAAGAGAGAGAATCTTTTTTACCTGCGCCCCCCCAGCATGGCGCTCTGGGTGAGGGGGTAGGAGAACCCCGCAGCCAGCCTCAGAATCAGCAGGTATCCCTTCCCCAGATATCTGACCTTCTCCTCCTGAACGCAGACGTCACACAGCTGGGTCAGATCCAGCACAACTGAGAGGGAGAGAGAGAGAGAGAGAGAATAGATGAATAGATAGATAGATAGATGGATGGATGGATGGATAGGTAGATAGAGAGATAGATAGATAGATAGAGAGATAGAGAGAGATAGATGGATAGATAGATAGATAGATAGATAGATAGATAGATAGATAGATAGATAGATAGATAGATAGATAGATAGATAGATAGATAGATAGATAGAGAGATAGATAGATAGATAGATAGATAGTAGATAGATAGATAGATAGATAGATAGATAGATAGATAGATAGATAGATAGATAGATAGATAGATAGATAGATAGATGGATGGATGGATGGATAGATAGATAGATAGATAGATAGATAGATAGATAGATAGATAGATAGATAGATAGATAGATAGATAGATAGATAGATAGATAGATAGATAGATAGATAGATAGATAGATAGATAGATAGATAGATAGATAGATAGATAGATAGATAGATAGATAGAGAGAGAGATAGATAGATAGATAGATAGATGGATAGATAGATAGATAGCTCCAGTGTTACTGACTTTTCTCGTGGCCTTTCCTCCACAGCGTCAGCACTAAAGCGTACAGACTGAAGGTCTTGAGCTCGATCAGGTTTTTGGTTTTGTCGAACACGGCCTCCTCCCACTCCTCCATGTTCTGCATGGCCACAAAGAGGCAGCCCGTCACGTAGAAGAGCTTCCACAACATGCTGTCTGTGGGGTTCCAAACACAGGGACTATAATGGAGCTGCAGCAAGTTACACTACATACAAAGGTTATTTAGTTTGATGTACCTGAGCTGTAGTATGCAGCCGCCAACCCAACAGAGGCTATACCTGCAAAACAAAGAGACATATTATTGATTTCATTTCATATAACAACTCAGCTCTTCAAACTGGCTTCTAATGTGTGATTGTTGTTGTATCGATTGATTTTAATTTGAGCACCTGTAAAAGCACTTACAAAATAAATATATTATTATTATTTAATATATTAAAAGTACAGTCCACTGATGTGCAGGCAGTGAAGGCAGGACATGACCATGCTACTTAAATCCCTTTTTTACACCAAATAGAAACATGAGATAATCAATATCATAAAGTCATACAAACATATATTTAAAAAACAAACAAGCACACAAATTCAAAAACATAAATTAGAATATTTTTCACACTATTTATTTACTGGCCATCCATTTTCATGCTGTTTTTTTAAATGGACAATGGGGAGATTTGATTGTGAAGTGGGTTTGATTCCACTCCTCTCTGCTAATGTAGAAAAAGGTGCTACTACGTACTTTACGAGATGAATTAGCGAGAGTAACAGATGTTTGAATTAGCAGTATATGTATCAGTTAAATATATGTTTTTAAGTCACTACAGAGGGTCATAAACAATTTCTAAGTAATAAAATGTACAAAGAAGCGTGATGAAGTCATACCTAACCGGGTCTAACTATTGGATTATAAATGAAAACAGAATATTACTTTAATGTCAGTCGACGTAGCGTTGCAGTTTTATTAGTTCTAGATGTTTATTTATGTTTTATTGCACAGATTGTGTGAACAAGAGCTGAATCCAGATCAGATGCACGCTGAAGGCTCTGAGCAGCTTTTCTCTCACTGATCCTGCTGCTATGTTACATTTCTCATGTGTTGTGTCTTGATGTGTGTCTGTTGATGTTACACATGGAGCTGCTGTGATGCAAGGAGCATTTCAGACTTGATCTGACCATTAAAGTATTATCCCATGTATCGTAGCATTTGCACACACACTTACCAACGAGCAGAGACCAGGAGCGCAGGCCTGGAGATCTCTTCAGGTGGAGCAGCGTGGCGCTGTGCCTTTCTACCATCATGTAACCCATCTGAACTCAGACAAACATATATAAACACTTTACATGTAGTTAAAGAATATTTCACATGATATCAATACAAGTTAAAGGGCCCATGTCATGCTGTTCTGGTTATTACCCGTCCCCTTGTGTGTTATGAAGGTTTTTCTGCATGTAAACGGTTTTCGCTGTGTCTCGCAGACGGCCACTGGGCTCACAGGGAGGGGGGGGATCAGGAGCTCCAACAAGCCGTTTAGGACAGAGAGTGAATATACATATAGAGATGCTGTATGAGAAACCAATGTGAGTTTGGAACATTGAACAATGTAAATCTATTCTAGCTCAACAATGGAATTATGATCAGTAGAAATGGCCGTGACATGGGACCTTTAAAACAAACCACTGAAATATACCCTGGAGGTGAAATACAGAAAGTTCTTTATCCTGTCTTCGGTTACCATGATAGTTAAGGTTAAGCCCTGATTTAGTCAAATATGAGACAAAATATTAATTATTAATTCATTACTCCTATCTTAATTCAACAAAGGGAACGTGTATATCACAACCATCCTTACTATCCATAATCTGACATGAAGTCTCCTTACTTCAACCGTTAAAATGTCCCAACGTTCACTAAAATCTTAAATAGATCATTGTTAATGTTTCTTTAAGAGGTTTTTGTGTCTTATGCGGATTTCTCTGCAGATGTTAATCATTGAGAGTTGATCCAGCTAGTCTGTTAATCAAATATGTCCAAGTTAATTAGGGTAATGCATATTTGTTTCTGTTTTATACATACAGAAATAGTCTCCAAACTTTAATCTGTGGACAGTATTTCAGAGGATTATCCACAGACTTTGTATCAGCAGAGTCCATCCACCTCTATTGTTTTAGGGTGGGGACAGAGCTGGATACACAAATACAAACAGGTTATATGCCTGGTTACATATCACAGGAGGTAGGAGAATAAAATACATGTTTTTGCGATTATTTTTCAGTAATTAAACTCCTTAAATAAATCTAAAAACCCACCAAGACACAAAGATGCTCCTGCAGAAGATGCACTGGATGTAATGGACACCTCTCTGCCTCAAAACAGCTTTATAAATATATAAACTTGAATACATGTTGCATTACTTACCTTTAAATCTTCTTCCTCTGCGTTAGTTTTCGCGTTGCAGTGTTAGAAAACGGTTATTTTTGGAGGAAACACATGTAGTGAAATATAAGGAAGTTATTTTCATGTTAATGCAACAACACTACTTCCTTCCTGGATCTCTCGCCTCTGATTGGACGAGCTCACTTTCTCGCCGCCTTAAAAATAAAAGCATCAAACGCATACATGTAGATTTACTGCGCACGTTTTTCGTTTTTCATACAACTAGAATACATTTTCAATAAACATTATCTTCCTTATTTGTTATAATAGCTTTCACTTTAACATTATTTCTAGAATATTCGTGTTTTTGTTTATTTGTGAACTACTTTGAAAAGCCAACTACTTTGAAAAGCCACTTAATTTATCAGGTCTACTCCGGTCTACTCTTGGAAAAATACGATATGGGTTGTTAATATGTATTTAACACATCTATTCTGCTCACATATCTGTATATATGTACATCCTACCAGATCCTACAGGGTGTCCGCGGGGGGTCTTAACAAGTATTACAAGTTGATAAATCAATTTAGCGAAAATAAAGGCTATTAAAAAGTATTAAACAGAAATGTCCAAGGTATTACGTTTTGTATCTTGTTTTCAATAAGTATATAAATTATCCAAAGAGGTTGTATTCTGCAGTCTGCCTGAATGTAATCATTGCGTAGGTGTGTAGTGCGATTCTGTGTAGTTTATGTATGGCATCCCGTTGGATTTGACGTCATCTGAACAGGATATCGCACGCTCACTGCTTGATAGCGCGCGACGGTCCGTTTACGCCGGTTGTTAAACAACATCGTTATGGGGAAATGCAAGTTTGCGTCCAAATGGTTGGAAGATGAGGAGGAAGGACAATCAATACTATATAGTAAATGTGAGGTAAACTGTGTAACCGGTTAAAACTCGAAGTGGCGATGAGGTCTTAAAATGTATGGATAAGGTCTTAAAAAAGGTCTTAAAAGGTCTTACATTTGACTTCAGGATTCCTGCATATACCCTGTCCTAGTTTACCTCACATTATTTGTTAACTTCCCTGTCATAAAGTAAAGTTCTATAAGAATCACTACACACATATTTATTTGTGTGTATAAATCCTTTTGTTTTAATTACTTTATTTTATTTATTTTTATTTATTTTATTTATTTATTTATTTTACTTATTTGTATTGTATGTATTTATTGTATTGTTTTGATACATTTCATTTTATTCATTTTGTTTATGTTATCCACTGTAGTCCAGCAGATGGCAGTAGGGCTCCAAATCAACGGCAAAAAAAAAACGTCTGCGCATGCGTACTCCGGCATACCGGTTAGAAAACAATGGAGTCAGACGTACACACCGGACTTTCTTAAATAACGGAATCAAAAAGCACTTTTATACACCAGTATTATAAAATAACAGCGGAGGTTAAACCCAGGAAACTGTGACACCGTCTACAAATGATTAAACTTTAAAGAAATACTGCTTACTATAGAAATAGTGCTGAGTAACCGAGTTCCCCTGCTGTGTCTGATTGTCCTCTGAAGTCCTTCTGCGTCTTTGTCTGTGAAATAAGAGTAAAAGGTGAGTACAAATCTTAAAATATAAGCTTTAATGTTCTGATTATCTATTAGGAATACGTGTTGTAAAGATATGAGGTCGTATGGGGTCCTTCAGGGGCGATGGCTAATCTTGTGGTAAGATCTATTATTGCATTTACTGTGTTACATATTTCTAATTCACCTGGGTTAGGAATCAACTTTAATATGATTATGTATTACGAGCTGTTTATTTAGCTACGGAAGATACGAGCTGTCTATTTAGCTCCGGAAGATACGAGCTGCTTATTTAGCTACGGAAGATACGAGCTATTTATTTATCTACGGAAGAGGATTAGGGCCATATGAGATACAATTTATTGGGATGTGACCAAAGGGGGAAAATACCTTTTTAAATTTCTGAGAAAATATCTGATCTGTTTGTTTTATTATTATTTGTTATATTTATTACAGTTATATAGACTGCCAAGGCACACACATGTCATGCTTTGCTGGTTATTACCCGTCCCCTTGTGTGTTATGTAGCTTGTTATGCATGTGAACGGTCTGCAGAGTCACAAACCCTCAAAGTACACCCTGTAGCGAGTAAAACTCTAACACAGAAAATACCTGTCTATGCTGCCCCAGAACGCCTCGTTGGACATTTCTCTTTTCCCATTGTTTGCTTCCTGGTCACAGTGACGTAACGACGACCAAATGGACCATTCCGTGGAGCTCCTTACACACTCACTCACTCAGCCTTATCTTTTCTCAGGCTATGGGTGTTTCTCAATGTCGAGTACGCTTGCTTGGTAGCACATGTCTTCCGAGTCACTTGCTTCAGAAGCGAGGCAAGAATACTTCCTGGCATTCGGAAAACGAAGAGTGGAACAGGCGAGCAAGTGTGCTTCATATGAGAGGCCCCGACTTACATTTTCAGCCACAGATCTGGGGAAATTGGTCCGTGCGCAAAGCATTGTGGGGATTTTAAGACTGCGGAGTCTACACAAGTGCAGCCTCGAAATTTCCCGCTACGAAGTACGCCGGCCTCGGTAGAATTCCAAGTATGCTGGACATTGGAACAGTCCTTCGGTGGCACTCGATGACATAGTATGCTTGAAATAGTGACTCTGAAGCAGCTTTACTCGACATTGAGAAATACCCAGGCCGTTTCTCAATCTCGAGGATGCTTGCTTGGTAGCACATGTCGTCCGAGTCACTTCCTTCAGAAGCTAGGCAAGAATCCTTCCTGGCATTTGGAAAACGAAGAGTGGAACAGGCTAGCAAGTGTGCAGGTGTGCGTCATATGAGAGGCCCCGCCTTACATTTTCCGCCACAGATTTGGGGAAATTGGTCCGTGCGCAAAGCATTGTGGGGATTTGAAGGACGCAAAGTCTACCCATGTGCAGCCTCGAAATTACCCCCAAACCAAGGACGCGGCCTCTGTGGAATTCCAAGTATGCTGGATATTGGAACAGTCCTTCGGCGGTACTCGATAACGTAGTATCCTTGAAATATTGGCTTGGAAGCCAGTTTCCTCGCGATTG